CTGAGAGCGAAAAATCTCAGATCAGACCATCACCGACCAGTCTGGTTGTGGAGCAGGTAACCAACCACCACCCAACCGCGCACCTCCCGCCCAGGGCCAAGCAGCGCGGCACAGAGAACGGTGGTTTCACAGCTGCCCCCACTCTGCTCCTGAACGTCAACAGAGTTTTAGTCTTGGCTTCAAAGGGGGCGTGACCGAGCCCAAGAAACCACACAGTGGAGCAAGTTGGACAAGTGAGAAAACGGTTGCGTCACCAGGGGGACAACTGGTTTGGCTGAAGAGACAGACAGCTCACAAGCTTCTGTCGCACCAGGACAGCGCAGCAGTGACCGCACAAGTGTCAAAGAAATCAAATTAAATGCAAGAAGGAGGGAAGGGAAATTCTCCTAAATGACCTGATCCTCTGAGGAGCAGAAGATAGCGGAGAAATGGTAAAAAGGAAGAGCAAAAGGTAAAGCTCCTTTCCTCTGAGACCAGGTTCTGATCTATGGTGACTGTAACACAAGTGGTGTTAACGACCCGTTAGCACTTGGAGGAAAGATAAATGCGTTTGTCTCTTTCATTAACACACACAATAGAATACTCTCTCACTACACTAAGAATAAAATTGTAAGAGAGGAATATTTTTCCCTGCTCGATGCAGACTCACCCTGTCTACACAGACTATACATCCAAAACTCCATCCCAACCAGACCCACTACACACACACAAAATCTTGTATCTAAAAGAAAACTATCAAAATGCAGAGCTTGCTTAAAAGCTGCTTTATTTGCAGTGTAAGCCAAAGGATCTTACAGAACACAGAAATGCACTGCTAGGCCTCCTTGGGAGCTATAAGCACTTGGTGCACTTGTCAAATAATAATACACAAGCAGTTAAATGATGGAGAAAAGGCACAGAATTCTTTACATGTGCAGAATTCTTTAAACATACGCTCTGGTTGTGTCCACACACACACTCAGAGCAGTTTCCAGTTCCCTGTAGGTGTGATGGCAGCCGGGCCACCCCAGCCCACCTTGTAATACCTGGGTGAAGAGCCTAGAAAAACCCTCACCCGGCACAAATGATGCCACCAAATGCTCCCCGCCCTGGCAGCTCGTTGCTAACGACACACACCGGCAGCCCGGGGCTTTCCTAAAAGGCTTTGGGCTACGAGGAGGAGCTCAGGGGCTCTTAATATAAAACCCCTGCTTATCTATCTTCGGCGAGTTCAAGTATAACGTAGCAAATTTAAAACCTGAATATTTGAGGCGGATACAGCAAGGCCTGGGTTACGCGCTCCCCGTTCTGCGTCGCACCTACAGCCACCGAGAGCACCGGCAAAATTCAGAGTATGGCACCTTTGTTGGATTAGGGCTTATGTTTCAAATAACCCAGTTCTCTGGGCTGTACCCACTGCTTCTGTCACGGGGTAAAAAGGTGATTCTTTGCCTTTGTTATCAACACATTCCCTCTGCTGGAGTTTCCCTTCTGAAGAAAACTCTTTGTTCCTACACTACGTTACGATGACGCTGCTCGAGGTGTTACATTAGCAAAGGTGTTTTGGTTACATTATACCACTGGAAATAACTAAAATACATGAGAGGAAGGGGAAACGAGGATATAAAGTCTATATAAGTATTTACACATCCCATTATTAAAATAAATGAAGGCTAATAAACAAGGCATTAGCCACAAGTATGAAATACAAAATGAATGAAAACTGTTTTCTAAACAAGATTAATATTAGAATCAACTACTGTTAAAACCAAAATATAACATGGTTTTGGAAGCTGTAATAAAATATAAATTAATAGTTCTAACGACAAAAAAATATCAAAGCTACATAATTGTTTTAAAACACTTTGGAGAGCTCAAATTATAGCTTTTTTTCTCTCAGAAAAAGCCCAGCAGGGGGGAACCTCCCCCATTCTTCCTGCAAGTGGATATTACATTAACAAAAGTCTTCATGTTAAAGCATATACTTCATAATTTTTAATAGCTGTTGAGAACATAAAACAGTTCTTTCCGAACATCATGTAGCACCTCCCGTAAACATAAAAAAAAAGCACTTTTTTTAATCTCTGATCATTTCATATGCAGCAATGCCTTTGTTTTGTAATGAATTCCATTCCTTCATGTGGCTGTGCCCACAGTGGCAGGGCTCTGCTGAATCACAGCTTACACAACCGCAGCCTCCTCGCCTCCAGAGGCTGTAGCACCAGAGTCACAACTCTCTGGGCAACGAGGCTTTTGCTCCACCACTTTCTGGGGCTTGTAGATACCCCAGAAACGAGGAACTCGGAGAGCCCAGCGGGCCTCTCTGTCCTCGTTTGACCCACAGTCAGCTTTACCCTGATACTTGAAAATAAGGACCAAAAAACAAGCTAATTTTTTTTTTAAAGTTCTCACTATTGCTAGCCTAAAAGGTTTACCTGCCATATGTTAAGATTATGTTACATTAAATTTTTAAAAACAGCCTGCTGAATGTTCCCTTTCATTGTCTTCTGGCTCTGAAGTGTTCAAAGTTCATTTGGGTCATGTTTCCAAACTTTTCTCTGTATTTAGAAATGTACTCTTCTTTTAAAGTGGCAACTAAAACTTCAGTTAAAATAGAAAACACTAAGGCAAGGTGAGAAGAGACAGCACCATCTACACTTTAAATGTCTTTCTGGGTCCCAGGCTCTCAATCAAAGCAGATGTCCTCTGCGTGTGGATTTATTTACACTTCTGTGGCTGCAGGATAAGGGAGCGGAGTCAGAAACTTGAAATCAAAGTTGTTGATTAGAATTTGCAGCACACGGAGGCGCAAACAACAGCCGCTGGTGTTTGTTTGTCCCAACCTTGGTGTTTGTCCCAACCTTGGTGTTTGCCCCCCCTGCGAGCACAGAGGCAGCAGGGAAATCGCTAGGACCAAGACCCTCCGCCCCTTACTCCAAGCCTCTGTCTTAACACCTCCCTCTCTCGGAGGACTCTGCAGTTTGCCAGGCTGTGTCACTGCCCCCGCACGCTCACCGATGTGTCACAGGCATTTTCACACTACAGTGTTTGGAAAAGGTTCTCCAGCACTTCATCCTGTGCACAGCCTCTGTATCTGGCAGCCCGAGGTGCCGGGAAGACCTGCCTTTTCCCCCTCTGGAGCTGCCACACGAGGAGAGAGCAGTGTGCCCGCCGAAAGGACATCCTCTGGGGGACTGTTTTCTTGTGAAACTGTGCATCAGTCCTGACTGGATGGGGTAGAAACCCCCAAAACTCTAATTCTTCAGAAATCCTACTTTTTAACTTAGGAAACATGCTTTCCCTCATCCACCCCCCCCAAATATTTATCTCTAATAAATGTTACACATACAAGATATATAATCTGTATCAATTCTCCATTCATTAGAGAAAAGCTTCCTGTATCTCACCCCTACACCAAAAGGACGTCCTCCGAGAGACTGTTTTCTTGTGAAACTGTGCATCAGTCCTGACTGGATGGGGTAGAAACCCCCAAAACTCTAATTCTTCAGAAATCCTACTTTTTAACTTAGGAAACATGCTTTCCCTCATCCACCCCCCCCAAATATTTATCTCTAATAAATGTTACACATACAAGATATATAATCTGTATCAATTCTCCATTCATTAGAGAAAAGCTTCCTGTATCTCACCCCTCTCCCACTTTGTCCATTAGATATCAAAGGGAGTAGTTCCACGTGATGGCTAATTTATTTTTTTGCTGAACAGGCTTGAAAAATAAGATCATTTTCTCTGCTGTTTTCTTTAAGCACTCACCTACACACACCCCTCGGGGCTTGCACTTAGAAAATGCCCTCTGGGATCCTGCTCTTTAGGAATGTCCTCACTTCCATCTCCCCAGGGACTTGTCCCAAGCACTTTTCAGCTACTGCCGCGTTTTAACGAGCTCTTGTCTGTGCATATATATCCTCACATGAACATCCTACTTTCGAAATCTAAACTAAATGAAGTATTTTAAATAAACATCAAAGCCATCTTGTATTCTCTTTCACTCTGAGGCTATTCGTTATGATCCCTGCATAAAATTTTCTACTTCCAGGAAGGGCAGTGCCAGGCAGAAACACATTTCTGTGCCCTGGGTTTCTGGCGACACAGAAAAAGGGGTGTCAGAGGCACCATTCTCAGCCTCCCAACACAGATTTCGGTGGCAAACCATTGTTACCGCGCAGTAAAGAGCAATTAAAGAGGTTTAATTACAGAGGAAAACAGATCAATAGTACCTGGTTTTGTACTCTTCACTCGCAATATTCTTGGAATGTATTTACTGCGTCTCATGTAATTAGTATTACCAAATTAGAAAATACATTCTGAAAACTGTGAGCGACTGGAGGGGAAGACCATGGCTCTCTGTCTGGTCTCCATTTGCTGTGCAGGTGCCACAGCCTCCACTGCATCCCCCTCCCATTTCTTGTGTGCTGGTCAGAGGAGAAGACCATGACTGTCTCTGTCTGGTCTCCGTTCGCTGTGCAGGTGCCACAGCCTCCACTGCATCCCCCTCCCATTTCTTGTGTGCTGGTTTCCTATTTATGCTGTAAATCTTTTCCATGTAATTCCTTCATGAGAAGCCCTCGCAAAACTACCGAAGAGCAGAAGGGAAAAATGACAATCACTAGACCAAAAGTGCTGTAAAATACCAAGTAAATAGGCACTTCTATTCCCCTCGTCTTTTTAAGTAGGAGAAATCTTAGGTCCTACACGTGAAGAATAGCAGGCAATATACCTTCAGACAGAAGTGCAATTTTAAGCAAATACTTTCCCTTTACTATAGTAAATTTTAACTCATCCTATCACAAGAGCAATCGTTTCTGTAATTCAGCATTCTCATGGCAGTCAAGAATAGTTGCCCTGTCATTTTTCAAGGGTTATATTTCCTGTATGTTACGTAGCTCAGACCGTAACTTCTTTGTCAAGCCTAAGATCAGTCCAAGCTTGTGCATAACTTCAGAACAAGTTATAGTGAATACAGCTGTACTTAAACAAATAACCAAACTAAACTCATCACATAAAAGTGAGAATCATCAACTCTCCCTGTTGCAACCAAGAGTAAACGTAGGAAGGAACAAAAGGCCCAGGAAAGGACACTTTAGGTAGACTTCTAGGATTTCCTGTTTTTGTAATTTGTGGGGTTACTAGGAAACTGGATAGGGAAAATATTTTAATTCTGAGTTTCAGTAAAGGAGTTCATACTCTCATTTATACGCTTCATGAGATGGGGTGTGAGAATTAAAAACTCTGTGTAAAAATACAGCTACATTCAGTATCTGTGGTTGGCCCCCAAGTAGACGATGACCCGATTTTCATACACCTTCTTCATAGTTTTCTCAATTTGCTTCAGAAATACTTGTGGAATTCTCCCACATAAAGTGTGCACCGTGTCCAGAAACTTAGACTGCAGAGGGTAGTACAGAGACTGGAAGAGATTGTCTTCAAATGGAAACTTAAAAAAAAAGAAAAAAAAGAATTATTAGTTTTCACTAGTTACAAAATGGCATTTTAGAAGTTTTTGTAAGATAAAACCTTATATAGGATGGCAATGGTTTGTCCCTCACCCTCCCAAAGTGTCATCAAAGCCTCCCAACTTCAACCACCGCTCTGCTTGGGAGCGCAAAGCTTGCCTGGGTCTATCACCTGGAACAGTCAACTTCCCAGGAACTGTATTTCTAGAGTCTGTATTTAAAGGAGATTTACTAATGTAAGGAACCTGTAACAAAACAGATATTTTAGAGAGCAGAGTTGTACAGACACAACAAAGTAGAAATATGGACCTGCACCTGGATGAGAGCTTCTGCCTTCCATGTGCCCAGAGGCTGTAGGTGCTCAAGGAGGAGCCTTCACTGGGTATTTAGGGACCAGAGCTGCAGCACCAGCAGGAAGAACTACATTCACTTTTCCACCTCTGATATTACAGAAAAGCAATTTATCGGCCTTTTTGATTAGATGTTTACTACAATATGAGGAGGATCATTTAAATCATCTCAAATATACACATGGAGTAAGATAGGAGAGGCCAAAGCAACCTTGTTATTTTGTGTCTGACGGTACTCAACTGTGCTCAGCCTGATCTGCTGGAACAGCAATTGGAGTGATGCGGTGTGACACTGAAACAGAAGGACTGCCTCTGTTGAGATAGGAGACTTACATCACGTATCACTTCATAGAGTGCCTTGAACGTAGGCTGTTTGTCATCGTGGTAGACGCCTCTATTTCCATGCAGGATAGAGACACCCTCCTCTTCTGCACCTTTACAGTTGCTCCCGTACATACAGTGATCGGGCCGGTAGTTCCACTGACACGGAAACACATAGAGACACTCTGCCAACATCCGTCAGGGGAGAGAGGGGAAAAAGACACATCAAACGGGTTACAACCAATTAAATTATGTTTCTGTGAAAAAGCTGGGATTGATAATCAGAAAAAAAATTCGGAGCAGCCAGACACAGAAGCTTCCTTTCCTCAGGGGATGACTACAGGTATCTCAGCTTCAGTTACTTTCTTTTGCAAACACCCCAAGGAGCAGCCAGACACAGAAGCTTCCCTTCCTCAGGGGATGACTACAGGTATCTCAGCACCGCTAGACCTGAGCTGACACAAAGAGAGGGCACCACAAAGCCTGGGTGCAAACATAAACCAAGAGAGCATTTTACAAAGCTGAAAGTATCAGAAGTAAACCAGGAAAGCATGCACCAGGTGGCACTATCCAGGGTCCTCCGCCCTCCTAAGAAGTTACAGAAATGATTAGGGAAGCACAGACGGCAGTGAGGGCTACAGGAAATCTGAAATCCTTCTGGGGACAGCAGGGGAAGCTCACAGAGCGTGTCCAATGTTTGCTGCTGGAGCTTTCATTGAGGCCATGACCATTTGTCACACCGAGATACAGCAGAGTACAAGAGGTAGTGTATTTTATGCACAATCCTTCTCAGAGCTGTCACCCATTAATTTCACAGGTCCAGGTTATTTAAAGATAAGCCTAAATTCTCAAAAGGGCTTGTAACCTCCTTTCTGCTACTAATTCTTTTTTCTTTTTTTAAACTTTCTCTATGCACCCACAGTGTTTGCAATACCCTTATAATGAATCACGCCAGCCCCTGTGACCTTTTTGCTTGAGGAATGGAGCACAATGAATCCCTGCACCCTGCCAGCAGGTTCATGGCAGAAGCACTGCAGATTGAATTCATCACTTGGCCTTTCTTAGCTTCCCGGGAGGTCTGCAGCTGGTCCTCCGTGGGTCTGGAAGAAGTAGGAAGTCCTCTCTAGCAGGAGACTGCTCAGGAAAGGGGGGACTGTGAGTGGTCTCCATGCAGCCTGACCTATCCCACATCCAGAATCGCTCCCCAGCGCTGCCAAAAGGACAGGAAGAGCTGGAAGGCCTGGTCCAAACCCCGTTACAGTTAAGGGGGATCCTTTCGGTAACCCTGAGCAGATGTCTGCAAGCACAGCTCCTCAGCAGGTCCCTACGGGGAGAGGATGTTGTTAGGGGCTTATTAGCTTTCGTATGCATCACTTGAGGATTCTTCATCTTTTCCACACCGTGACTCTCTTGTGCGTGTTTCGCTGTCACAGCTGGACTCACACTCCAGCTGCTCGGAGGCCTCATGTCCATTCATCACCAGAACAGCCTTCAGAGATGGGAAAGGGTGCATCTCCTCAGGCCCCAGGTACCACCATGTATGTATTTTTAAGCCAAGGCACTGCATCTATAAAACCCCACCTGCAGCAGCCTCGACTGATTCCTTCCCAGGCCAGTCTCAGCAATCCAGCAGTTTAATACCTCAGGAAGATCTAGTCCTGTGCTTTAATTGTATCCAGTTGCTTTGTTCTCTTTTCTCGTGCAGCCTGATATTATGTAATTTGCAAAAAATTATTTACCAGTTGCAAGGAAAAGACAGACCCCGGTGCAGAGAGGAGTCTCAACACGTGGATTGGATAGAGAATGCTCTCATCACAAAATTAAAATATTTTTGCAATCTTTTTTTTTTTTCCTCCACACTTCAGTTAGCAGCTTGAGTTTGACTTTACAACTCATCCAGCTTCATATTCTTCTTCCTCCAGCAGACCCTATTCCCATAACATTCATTTCTTTTTGGAAATTATTTATGATTTTATAATGAGGATTTCTTCCACTCGATTTTTTTTCTCTAGGATAGAGGGTAATACATGGGACGCTGATGTTTGACATCTGTCTGCAGCAAACAGATGTTAGCTTATTGCTTTCCTTTTGCTCTCTCCTTTTATTTGCCTGGATTTGGGTATATCCAATTACCTACCCTATGACTCCTCAGAGAAAAAGAAAAGGGAACAGAATAAATAAAAAGAAATCCAAACTTATTCTGTTCTCAAGATCGCTGGAGGGAATACAAGGTCACACAGGAAAAAAGGCAAAGCAAACAAGAATGGATGGATACTCAGGATATTCAGAAGCATGAAATAAGGTTCTCAGCTTCTTTGGGAAGCACGTACTGTGATATAATTTTGAAATCCCTGCATTTTTCAGATGTTACTGTTCTTGGAAGCGCCTGAAGCCATTTCTGTGTGATATCAGTGCAAAATACTTAAAAGAGGCTGCATTTCCAGCAACTGCCTCAGCACTTGTGGAAAAAGTCACACCCTTTTAAGACGAAGATGCCCAAAATTGCCAGTTTCTCATGAGAATACGAGTCAAGAGGAAATGCAGGACAAACCAAAAACGTTACGAGCTGTTTATGGAGGCGTGCAAGAGGAGTAAGGTACGACACTTTTCTGGGCTGACAAGCACATACAGATTGATGATGCTGGTCCACACTAGGACAGGTGGGTTCTCTGAGAACAAGGTTTTGTGCAAGAGTGACGGGCAGGAGTAAGGGACGACGTTTTGCTGGGCTGACAAGCACATACAGATTGGTGATGCTGGTCCACACAAGGACAGGTGGGTTCTCTGAGAACAAGGTTTTGAGAGACCTGGAATCCTCCACATCTCCCAGAGCAAGCAGAATACAGAAGAGCAGGAAACACACAAATCTAAGCAAGAGAATATAGATGCCACCACCCTGGTGCCCGCTGAGGCCGCATCATCCACTGAGAGGCTGGAAGCACCTTTCTCAAAGGGTAACTTTTAGCGAAGGAGAGAAAGTAGGGAGGGCAAGAGTTTCAGAGGAGATAATTCAACGAGAGGCTGGAAGCACCTGTCTCAAAAAGTAACTTTTAGTGAAGGAAAGTAGAGAGGGCAAGAGTTTCAGAGGAGATAATTCAATGGCTGTGTCCATCCTCTGTTTATATCAGCTTTGTCACTTGTTTGCATAACTATACAGCTGAATTTCAGAAAAATAGAGCATAGCTTTGAAGAAAGTTTGGCAATTTCACATTCAGATAAACATCTGAAACAAAAATATTTTTCAGCTAGGCCCTGGTCCAGTGACGCTCTTAAGCACGCGTACAACTTGAACTTCATTCCTGCATTTGGTTATTAATTATTTTCTCAGAATCTCCAAAAAACAGATCTTCATATTCAATGGCATGAAGTCCAAGCCTCACTACCTGAACCCCTTGCAGAAGGATTTTCATAGGTTGTAAATCCGAGGTGCACTTACACATTAACTTCATGCCAGAGTACGTTACGCGTATCATAAATAACAAATAACACTTCTTAAAAAAATGTTTCAAGTTCAAGAAATTTTCTTAACACGGATAACCAGGACTCCAAGAATCATTACTTACCTGGGTTAAAGTAAAAAATTATATTTAGTAAATCCTGATCTCCCCACGTAATGTAATTTTTGTACCTTCTTAAAAAAAATTTTCAAATTCAAGAAATTTTCTTAACACAGATAACCAGGACTCCAAGAATCATTACTTACCTGGGTTAAAGTAAAAAATTATATTTAGTAAATCCTGATCTCCCCACGTAATGTAATTTTTGTACTTTTGGTATAATGGGTATAACATCTCCTCCCAACTCAAACCACTCGGGATCATGCTGTTCTGCAGGACAGAAAAACAGAAGCAGTGGGTTAATACCGTGAACGATGTGATACATGACTCAGAGTGTGGCACCCACATATTTGGGAGTCTGCTGAGCCGTGTCAGATTCCTAGATGAAAAATGAAGACGTGCCAGGAAATGTTAGAGCTGGACAGGGCTGGAACAGCAGAGCTGACCGCGCTCTTGTTTATCTCAACAGGAAAGCAAGGTCTCCCGGGTCCGGCCGTGATGTCAGCTCCTGCTATTCACAACCTTCCTATTCTAAGCAACAAGGGGGGGAAAAAAGTGAGAAAATGCAAAAATGCAGGGACAAGGTGAAAACTGAGGTATAAAAGCGAGGAAAAAAGCAGACTAAAAAGGATCCTCCCTGGGAATTAGGATATTAAGAGCAAGGGTTTTTTCACTCAAGCTGTTCCTGTATAGGAACCACTGGCCTTGACTGAGGAACAAGATTACTTGGTTTTTTTTTACTCAAGCTGTTCCTGTATAGGAACCCCTGGCCTTGACTGAGGAACAAGATTACTTGGGGTAAGTAAAGTTTTTAAAGAGGTTACAGAATACATTCTCGATGAAACAAATAGAGATTTCACTAGTCAGAACTTTCACACAAGAGGGGAGATGTCAGAGAAAACATTCCCATGTTATTTATACCAAAATTCATGGGGTCATTTGATCTGCTGCAGGATACAAATTCTACTTACAGCAGATGCAGACAAATTACCAATTTCTCTGGATATTTACATCAAGCTTCCCAACTTTAAAAACAATACAGTGACTGCACGGAAGATCCTCGAGTTTATTCATTCATCTGTCTTTTAAAGGAAAATGAAATGTTGAAGAAGCCATTTTTACTCCTGCTAACAGACTGCTTCATCTGCAAGTTCTCAGTGCTCCAGCCTCTTTTGTTTTAATAATCATTTTCACTATAATTGCTTTTAGTATCCAAATACATATTCTATATTTTTTTAGAATCTTTATATTACAAACTTTACATAATTTTATACTAAGATTTACAAGATGTGGAAAATATGTTCATTTCTGCAACAGCTGTCTTTCTTCTCACCTTGAACTGAGTGTTGCGTATGCGTGTTAAATTCATTAGCATCACTCCAGAATTGACTCCAGTTGTCCCATAATAAGGGTGACGCGCAAATCGACTGTACCAGCCAATCTTTGGTATTTCGTGCTCTGGGGCCATAGCAGCCAGCTGGGTGGAGTTGAACTCTTTCAGGATGTGCCAGATGTCGTCGATGGGCCTCAGGAAGAGAACATCAGTGTCCACGTAAAGGAGAGAGTCCACATCCTTCAAAATGACCTTTTAGGTTTGCAGAGTGAGGAGAGGAAGAGATGAAAAAGCAACCAAAGAGACAACAAGAAGGAAGGTTATGGGCAAATTCACTTTTATTTTCAACTGATAATTTGAAAGAGGTTATTGATTTATCAGCTAAATGCAATTACACACGGGAACAACAGTTATTGGGTTATTGGCTTGTTGTTTGTTTGTTTTTTTATAAACTGCACAGCCCAACAGCTACCAGGCCACACAAGTTGGATTCTAACCTTCATTTGAAATCCACTAAGTACTACCATAAAAAATCCACATGGTTACCCACTCAGCTCACAGGCAAAAAACCAAACCAAACCACCTTGAAGGCCTATTTAGTATCAGTTCTGAAATTAAAAGCAAAGAATATGCATTTACATAGCTTTGCTAGTTCTTTTAAAGATCCGTGAGTGGTGGTGGTGTACAAAAAAATTTAACCATTTGTAGAAAACGTAATTTTTGCACACTATATAGCAAGGATTCTGAAAGGATCATTATTGAAAATGATATACTATGTAGTAACTTACAAATCTGCTACTCTGTGTGTGCGTGAAAGATGCTTCCACAATCTGTCCCAAAGCTAATGTGGATCCTGACCCTGCAGTCGGACTCTATTGAAAATGATATACTATGTAGTAATTTACGAATCTGCTACTCTGTGTGTGAAAGATGCTTCCACAATCTGTCCCAAAGCTAATGTGGATCCTGACCCTGCAGTCGGACTGGCTGGCACCTATCTTGATGAAACATATAGTTTCCTCCATAGATAGACAGGGTAAACTAGTACAACAGAAAACTTTTCATCTCCTTTTGGTATCATCTTTCCTTATGCCTTTCTAATGACTGTTTTTGCTATGACAACCTTGTGCTCCCACGACACTTACACTCAGTATTAATACATGCAAATGTTTCATGTTCATTAAGAAAACCCTATCAATCACAAAAATGTATCTGCATCCCCCTGACGAACAAGATCTGCTCGGTAAATGGAAATGTCATATTAAAACTTATCAGGTTGGATTCTGATCTCTGTTATTGGACTCTGTATCAGGAATAACCACAGTAAAGTTAGTCAAATCAGAGGGGTGTAAGCTGTAAATTACATCCCGGATCTTTAATGTATTCTTGTTGTCAATGTTCCCCCTTGTGGCTATCCAAATCCTTACACGCTCACTCATTAATTTTAGTAGGGCAAAATTATATAGTGCTTCAACAGTCCAAGAAAACTCCCTTGATGTTTGCACCAGCTATTTATAAGGTTGATTTGTTAGGTAATAACAGCTAAAGCTGACCATCAGTTCCAACTGCATTTTTTGTTGCTCCTCTTCATTATTTTCTAAAACTGTCCAAAGATTCCTGAAGGACTGACATTTTCTTACTTTGGTCTCATCCAAAAGCCCTATTTCTCTTTCTTTGAGTCAGAGGGGTGTAAGCTGTAAATTACAAGCAGGATCTTTAATGTATTCTTGTTGTCAATGTTCCCCCTTGTGGCTATCCAAATCCTTACACGCTCACTCATTAATTTTAGTAGGGCAAAATTATATAGTGCTTCAACAGTCCAAGAAAACTCCCTTGATGTTTGCACCAGCTATTTATAAGGTTGATTTGTTAGGTAATAACAGCTAAAGCTGACCATCAGTTCCAACTGCATTTTTTGTTGCTCCTCTTCATTATTTTCTAAAACTGTCCAAAGATTCCTGAAGGACTGACATTTTCTTACTTTGGTCTCATCCAAAAGCCCTATTTCTCTTTCTTTCTTTCTTTGAAAAGCAAATCCAAAAAGCTCTTGATTTTCACCACTTTGTGGAGCAGAAAAATCACTCTCGCATCCAATTGCAATGATACCAATGACAAACGAAAAGCAAATCCAAAAGGCTATTGATTTTCACCACTTTGTGGAACAGAAAAATCACTCTTGCATCCAATTGCAATGATACCAATGACAAACTCTGCTATTCATGCAGGCAACTTAATAAATTCTACTAGAGCAATTAAATTTTACATAAGCAGAAATGTATCGTGACTGAGGATTGCCTGTGAAAGAGTGTGAAAAATGTTAAGATTTTGAACAAGTGGGGAGAAAAAATTTACCTCTAAGCGTGCTCAATGGGCATCCACTAAGATGCCAAATCCGTGAGTTTGGACTTGAAAGAGACTTTTCACCGGACAGAACGCTTTGGGATTCAGCCTGACATTTAGCCAAGTTTCACAAAGCCCTGACCTGTATTTCTGACACGATAACTACATGTTCTGCCCATGCAGCAGGACAAGCAGGAGAAGGCAAGTGTCTCTGCATTTTAAACAAAAGTTCTGATTACAAGAAATTCCATGTATTCAAGTCCAGCACAACCCAGAGCACGCTGCTGGGTGGAAGGTTAGAGCAAAACGCCACAAAGAATTATTTTCCATAAAAACATACAAAACAGCATGTGAAAGTATCAAAAAATGTGTCACGAATAGTTCAATAACACACTAAGATACCAAGGCAAATATTTGTAAACGTTAAGTATCCTCTAGTCTAATACAAAAACCAAAATAAAACCCAAGTAAAAGACAACAGCTACTTTAAGAGTAAATCAATAGAAGACAGATGGTATAAAAGAAGAAAAGGTTTTTCAGCCTAAGGATATCCTGGATACTGTGGATCTTCTGCAGCACCTAGAAGTCCTAATTCATAGGGACCTACTACATGAAGTCATATAAAATCAAAACATAAAAATAATTCTAAAATTGCCCCCCAATTTATTCTGAGACAGGAGGTAACACACGAATACAAAGAGAGCAGGAGGTACTAGATTTTGCCTGAGGGTCACACAGCACATTGTCCACCAGGTGACATTCTTCCTGTGGGTATCTTGCTATAGAGACAAGTTCAGGCATTTTCTGCAGAGGGTTCAGGGAGAAGCTTAATGGGTGCATACAGACCCTCCTCCCAAGCATCAGTGACAGTATTTCCCTACACATAAATGGATTCAAGCAGGTGTTGCAGTTCTCTGTGAAGGGGGCACCTACCAGCATTTGACCCCACTCTTCGTATTCCCCCACTCAGGACTCACCTGCTCCCCTTTCTGTTTGCCAAAAGGCGCTTCCCTCTCCTGTGTCCGAGGTCTTGTCCTGCAGGGACACCCAACAGGCTAAAAGAAAAGCAGTGCTGCTTCCTTTATGCCCTTCATCATTTTCTCTCTCACATGTGAAGTTTTAAGACTTATTTCAAAGCTACACGTCAGTTTGAATTGATGACATCCCCTTCTGGCTGTGCATTTAACTTCGCCTTGGGTAGGGGAATTTAATTTCAGAACTGGTGGTTGTAAGAGTTCCTTGCATAGCTCCCGGGGTTTCAATGGAGTTATACTGGGGATAAACTTAATTTAAGTAACTCCAGCATTCCCAATGTCCCAAAGCTTTCCAGTAGCTCTGTTCCCAAACTAAAGAGAGTTTAACAAAAATATATTTTAGGTTTTACACAGCCCATAAAACAATATTTAGCTTTTACTTATTCAAAAGCATACCCGAGGAGATGATGTATTTTTGGCTCTGCTCATTTGCAGTGCCCAAAGCAGTGGAGTAGCCCAAGGCAGACCTGGTACAGGAGACCTGGCTCCAGCTTGCTCTGCCTGATCCAGACACCACACAGCGAGGGGCTGGCAGCGCCCAGCCTGCCGGGAGGGATATCCAGAGGGACAGGACTGCAGGTGAGAAATGACACCCACCTGACCCGGAGCATAAGCAACGCCAGACTGCGGCTGGCAGCGCGAGCTCACGCCAGCACAAACCATGGAGACATACCTGACAGACTGGGATTTTTAAAACGAATGGACAGGAGCATGGCTTCACTGTGCTTGTCGTCTTCCTCGCTCTACAGGCGCCTACAGCTTAAAGGAAGTGTGATTTATTTTTTTTTTTTTTTACAGCTATGTCGAGTGTTCTTAGTAAATCTGTCAAAAAGTTCTGCACAGAACCGGCTATATTTAGCCTGACACTTCACTTAAATACTCAATTATCTGTAATTTGATTTCACAACTTCTGTCTCCATAGATTCTCCCCGTGTTAGCAAGGTTGGCAAGGAATAACACACTACTGTGTAAACACATACTGGTGTGTTGTGAAGTTGTGTTGCCTAATGGTTTGCAATGGCTCACACGGCAGTTTACCAGAGCTTTATCCAAAATTAAGGACAAATCCCAAATCTTAATGCTAATGTAGCAGTACCACAAAGCTGAGCTACTAAACTTAATTATAGTAACCAATTAACTCAAGTTACAACACAGATGGAGACTTTTGCCTAGATAACGTTCTGGCATCTATTCCCAGTGCTGCCTCTGATCCACTGGGTTGGATACTTCAGCATACTCAAGAGGACAGCTAGAGTACAGGGATATTGCTAATCTACCTTAAAAGCTCTTAAGTAGATTAAGTGTTTTGAAAAGGGTTCTAAATGTTAGTTACTATTAGAACTAAAATCATCCAAAAATCCTTTAAGCACTTCATGATACTTTAGCTGATTGTTTTGGTAGCTCCAGACCAGCAAACACAGAGACAGCTGCAGCAGCTCTGGGGTATGCAACAGGCATGAGACCAGAAGAGGGCTTTTCACCTGGTGTCTTAACACCCATGTTAGTGTTACAGAACAGTTTCAAGTAATTGCTGAGATCATTACCCTCCTAGTTTATTTTTAAAGTTTCATTTTTGTGCTCAGGTAAAGATCCACATCTTCCTCATTCCGTCTTTGCAAATCCCATCAATGCTTTCATTGTAGTAGACTGCAGAGATTTAGACTTGTGCGATTACATGGAGGCTCAATCTACTTTCCATGTCTAAGTGGCAGATGTGATCAGATGTCACAGAAAGCCTCTACAAAAGGCAGGATGTCGTATGATCTTCCTTAATATTTTAACAACTAAAGTGGACTCCACAATTTGGGAATACGTACATCAACCTCTTACCCAGGACAAACCAGTTCATTGCTACAAGCGGCAGGATCGCATCCCAGAGCTCTGGTTTTATCAGCAAGTAAAACCACTGCAAGATTCTTACACAATTTTCCCTTCACACATTCCTCATACCCTCCTGTCCACTTTCACACGCCTGCTGGTGCTGCAGAAGAGAGATTTCTTTAGCAGGAGAGGCACTTGTGAATCAAAGACTCGCATTCCACTCGGGCTTAGCATTATCAGAAGCAAGACAATTTGCACAACTGAGAGCTAAACAGCTGATAAACTCAACTCCAGCTCTCCCGGGGTCCTCCCTAAATCCAGTCACATTTTATGCCACTGCAGGGGAAAATGCTTAGTACAGGGAAAGATAAGAAAGAAAAGGATACTCACATCCTGCTGGTATTTATTTAAAATAAAAGGCAAAATAGTTCTCTAAACAATAACACTAGAAACCCTCTGCTCCCGCTGTGTGCAGACTGGATTTCTCCAGCATTGTCTCATTCAAATGGGATATCAGAACCCAGTTATCAAGCACCAAAAAAAATACCGGCGGCTGAAATTCCCCAGAAACAGCCCAAGGTTCTGTCAGTCTGTGAATTTGAGTACCAAAGTGCAACTGGACACTTGCCACCTCAGCTATTACTACAACTTGTTTTCTTTACTGTATCCACATCAACTCCGTGTCAGCTGCAACTACTCTTGGACAACTCCTCCTATTCAAAGCCATAAACCTCTGCCTGACCACACACAACATTTTGCAACTGTCCCAAGAGAAACAAACACACACTTACAGCTCAGGTTGCCTCCTAGTTTTGCTGAGACAACACGCAACAGTCTAATATTCCTTACAAGAAGCTACCAGAGAACTTCAGCAACACGTGAGTGACAAAAAAAGAATCTAAAAAGCACTGCTCAACCTAAAGGAATCAGCATGAATACATAACCCTGTCATCAGAAGGGCGATGATAAAAGTGAAACAGTTTCTGGGATGAGAATCTACCAAAATGACATTTATTTCTATCACAGAAATAAAAAGAATGGAGAACTGTGTTTACTCGGTGAAAACAACCCCATTTGAGTACATCCTTACAAACAATCTGTATGGAACAAGCTAACACTTACGGATTATTTTCCAGGTGATACAGATATTTACTCAGGGAAGAGAGGATTCCTGCTGAAGTTGGAGTTACTTTCAGTCCATCTGGCCTTTGTGTGTTTGATAGCCTACCTCCAAACGGCAGATAGACCTAACTGCTGACAGCACATATTTTCTCACATATGTATTCATAGGCTATGTATCTGGACATGCAGCTGTCTCCTGATTGTTTCCATCTGAGAAAGTAAAGATTTCTTTGTCCCCCCCATTTCTCATAAGACAGAAATGAAGAAACCTGGATCACGTGAACTTTATTGGAGTCACCCCAATCAACAGCAACACACAAGACATTTTTGGTAGTTATTCCCATAATTCCACATAAGTCGCTTTGCGCAAAAGTTCCTTCAATTTCTGGTATTTCTGCACATGCAAAATTGTTATTGACACCTTCCTTCTCTCCAGCAACCTTACATTTTTTCCAAGTTTATGACATGAAGTAAATTTTCAGTGAACGTGAAGATCCCAGGGTACACAGGACTCTTGCATGAAATCTGACTTGGAGCACATTGGAACTATTACCTTAAGGACAAATCTGACAGTCTCAGAAAAAGAAATAAAACTCAAGGAAAAGGGATTGCTGAAAGCATCAGTCTAAGGGCTAACACATGGAAAGGGAGATAGTGGGTAGAGAGGGTACGATGACTGTGTGCTGAAAAGAATGTTATTTATGGAAGGCATGCAGCATCTACCCTGGAAGCATCTGCCCTGAAAGAGCTCTCGCACGGAGTCTTAAGAGTCCAAGAGGCCAATGGAACAAGAGACAAATAAGAAACACACATCCTTTGTTAGCAGGAGAAAAAGCGAGGCTGGATTTCTGGCTTGTTGGTTGTTTTTTTTTTTTTTTTTAAGTAGCTAAAGCACAGACTAAAATATCTTTAAGCAGATGTTTCAGCCTGAAAATAGTTTTAATACTACACCAGCAAACCTTCCTTTCTGTGGAGTTAACCTTTTCCTGAAGCAACCTACTCAGCAATCCAGGTGCCTTACCGGAAGAAAAAGGCGCTGGGCAGCACATGGTTTGAATAACTTTTTCCATTCCTGAGCATTTCCTACTGAGAAGGTTATTGGGTAAATGTTGTACTCAAACTTCTTTGTATATGAAGAAGGCCATTCCTTTAACTGAAAGACACCAGGGGAGTAATTAGACACTACATGTTATATAGCTTTTTTAAAAAACATATGCATGCATAAGGGATTTATAAACCGCGTACAGTAAAAAATGTGCTTAGTTGCAACTTCTTGATGTCAATTTAACTTTTCTCAGAGATTTGTGACTTAGAACTAACTCATTTATTTACTTACCATATGACAAAGAAACTCACCTTCTTCTCAAATTCAGGCTTAAGGGAATCCTCAGCAAAAATGTGAAAGCAGAGCCTCCTGTTGCTAAAGAGAACTGCTGATTTCAGCATGATCAGCGTCTCTTCCAGCCGGTCCCCACATGCCACAACTGCCAGATGCATGCACGACAAAGATGAAGGCTCTTTTGAATGTCTGTGTTCTCCAGGCTTCCTGAAAATTCAAAATAGGTATATAAAAAATACTGAGGTAAACATGAAGAGAATGCTGTGTTAACAGCTATCAGGGTTTCTTTCCTTTGCCTTTATTTTGTAAGGGATTTTTCTGATTTGATATCCACAGAACATGCAAGCAGCACGCCAATTGTTGTCAAAGGTACAGATCACGAGTGTTAAAAGTATAACACAAAGAAAGATGCTATTTTCAGAGTTCTTCCAGTTATTCCTACATTGCTGGATTTGCATAAATCACTGCACTGCATACACAGCTGAAACTAATTCAATACCACCTCAAACCAGACAACAATTTGCTCTGTGCCAATGATAGCTTTTTTTTGAATCTCTAGCTTAGAGGTTATGAAGCCAGAGTGGATTTATTACTGCCTAGCCAACTTTCTAACACAATGCAGATCACAGAACTACATCCAATAACTTCATTACCAGCCCCATAATGGCTAGACTGGAAGAAGACATCCATACTTTAAGAAAAAAATCCACTTCATCCATATGTAAATTATTCTAACAGTTAATTAATTTTGCTGTTAAAAATGCATGCCTTAATCCTGGCCTGAAGGAACTGGCATGGTTTCAAAGGACTGCTCTCTGATGGAATCCCTGAGATTTTGCTAAAATAGAGATTTTTAAAAACAAACATATTCACATGTCCCAGATGAATGAGACAATATTTCACAGGCAGTCAAGGGCCAAACTATGGGTTTTCCACTTAGCACCCATCTGTGCTGGCTTTAAATAAATTTCAGCTAGACTACAGGGGAATCTGTGTCTAAAAAGCACATTCAAGCTATTTGTTAGCCAGAAACATCAGAGTTCTTTTGGTGAACTGAAGACATTTTCAAAATACGGCACGTTTTGGTTTTGTGCATTGTACCCCCCCCCCCATCATTATGGAGGTAAAAATCACAATATTTCACAGGCAGTCAAGGGCCAAACTATGGGTTTTCCACTTAGCACCCATCTGTGCTGGCTTTAAATAAATTTCAGCTAGACTACAGGGGAATCTGTATCTAAAAAGCATATTCAAGCTATTTGTTAGCCAGAAAAATCAGAGTTCTTTTGGTGAACTGAAGACATTTTCAAAATATGGCACGTTTTGGTTTTGGGCATTGTATCCCCCACCCCCCATCATTATGGAGGTAAAAATCATATCCTCCAGGAATGCTTCTACCATACTGTATTCACATTCCAACACGGACCACATTTATACTCCATGACATGGATGTGTGCTGACAAAGCAACTAAATCACAAGCATCGTCATCATTATAGGGGAGTTCAAAAGGCTAATCATAGATCACTACCAGTTCTTGACATATCACTAAACAGAGGACAATCAATCCCTGCCTCTTCTCAGCATACATAATTACATACATACAATTAATCAGTAAAGTTAATATTAGAAACAAAAGTTCTAAATAAAGAGAAAAATGACAGTTAATAAAGCTGTCATTATCTTTTTTTCCAGACATTAAAATGCTTCTCTCTACAACAGCAGCATTCTATGCTACAAAGCAATCCACTCCTGTGTTAAGGAATACCAGCCAGTGGTACTTTACTGACTATACAAAGCAACATGTTTCATTAAGGGTTTAAAGTCTTAGGCTTTAGTCTTAATTAAACCCCAATTTCATCAGTGTATAAATAATGGAATACTACATCTATGTGAAGTGGTATTTACTTTCCAGCCTATTAGTGTAAAACCCACTGAATTATTGAAGTGAATAATTAGCTGCTCACACAGATCCCCTTTTCCCCCCTTCTCGCTATCTGTTTAATGTTTCCTCTTAATTGAGTCTCTAAATCAAGCCATATGCAGGATAAGAACTGCTTTGATATAGCTTGTGGCAATGGAATTCACTGGGAGAGGAACTCTAAGCTTTTATTGCAACATTTCAAAACCTGACACCAAAGCACTAAGCTTTTCTGTGCAAATTTTAGCCACAGTGAACTCTCCCTTATGCAGCTGGTTTGTAGCAAAAAAAAAGCAGTATATGGAGACAAGCCCTTCCAAGGAACAGAAGCAACCCCCGGTGAAGGCAGAATGCCCTGTGAGCCCATGGGAGCTAAGGATGAAGAAGAAAAACCCCACTTGCCAACACAGACACCCTCCTAGCCCCAGAGAGTGGAGGAGAAAGCTGAGCCTCGGAGACGTGGAATTATGAGTCACGAAGGACTGGGCTGAAGGGGTTCAGGAGCCTGCAATGGCCTAAAAAGGAGTAAAAATCCCCAAGAAAAGGAGCATGAGGAGGTATTTGAACTACCTCAGTAGCAGTCCAGGACACAGAACAACAGTTAGTGAGAAAAGTAGCAACGAGGTACAGAAGAACGTTGGGACACAACACTTTGGCACCTTTTTTATAAGTACATAAGAACAAAAGAGGGCTGTGGAAACAAAGGTGAGCTGGAAAGGGAAATAAAAAAGTGCCATAGCAGGATGCATTTAACAGCAATCTTAGCTTAGCCTTTATAAAATTACTATTATTATCCAGAAGTCTGAAAAGAGGGAGGTGTAAAGGCAAAGTCAAACTGCTAGGAAGGCAAATGAGCACATTACAACAAGGAACATCACAACTCCCCTTCCCTCCTCCGTTTATACCTGCACAGGCATTCTGTGCAAGGAGGAACGGAAGGGATGGGGAGAAATAACATCTGGATGACAGGACATTCCTTAAAGATCTGCAAGATACAGCCAATGGCTTCAACCAGTTCCAGTTTGACCAACAGCATGTAGGATCCTGCTGCCTCACAGCGAATAAATGGCTGTGCTTGTTTAACTGGATCCTCTCTTGGAGGTCAGAGGGCCTCCAACTTGTGTTATCAATAGAGAAACTGAAGGGTAGAACTTAGTTCATACCCATGGAGCAGCTACTTCACTTCTGCTGCAGTAGGTTGGGCTGGACACCGGGAACCTTCTCATTCAAACAGATTTACTGCTTAAGGAAAGGCCTTCTCTAAGCTGAAATTTCATACAAAGTACACACTGAATCCTGTTTGATACAGTGTATCTCCTCTAATTGCAAAGGTTTGTTTATGATGTAGTTACCAGTGGTTGACGCAAAAGCTAAAGAGTTTTCTGTAACACTACCTGCTCAGACAATACATCAGATGGAACAGACGAAAGAAAAATACTTTGTTTAAAAGGATGGAGTTCGCTAATACAAAGGATAAAATTTGTTACATAGAATAAAAAAGAGCCGGCAAGCAAGGAAGAATATATTGCTAGCTTATCAACCTAAGACATTAATAAGCTTTTGACATACAGAATCACTCAGATAGTGGTTAAAGAGCAAGTGAGCACCGTTTTTGGCTCTATTTTGCTGTCGGCTCCTGCAAAGCTTTGGGTGAGTCATTAATTCTTTATGCTTTAGTTGTCCTACCTGTAAAATGGGAACAGTGGTTACAGTAGTAATCGTTACCTACCCCAAGGGACTTCCAAGCACATTAAAAAGCACATAGATCCACAGAGTACTACCATTATTATTAGCCAATTCTCCCTAACATTTATACGGGCATTCATTCATTTATAGTCCAACTTATTGGTTACGGGTAGAGTCTATAATTGGGTTTTATGACCTAAATTAAATGTTAAAATGCATCAAAAACAATACAGTGACCTGGGCCTTAAAGTTTAATGTGTTTGACAAGAACAAATAAAGAAATAATATACACAAAGTCTTTGTTACTTTGATACCCTTCTTCTAATTTCAGTACATAAATGTAGCTTGTCAATATATAACTAATAGAACATGATCTTAAACTCCTTGCTCTATTCCCTGTTTTACCCATTTGTTCAGAGAAAACAGCTTCCTGCTCTCCCTTTCTCCTATTATAATATTATATGTCTTTAAAATTAAAGTTCCCTAAGATTAAGCACTACAGAAAGCATCACAAAATACTTGCAGAATACATCCCTCTGAGCCAGCTGAAGGCAGACACGGTAGGACATAGCATGGCAAAATGTTTCTACCAAAGGCTATCCAACAATGCAGACCAACTCCTATCCAGTTGCCCAACGGTATTTTATTTACTGCATACATTTTTTTCTGACAGGCATGGGTATTGCCATCACAGAAGAAGCCCGAGTGCTCAAGCACAATAGTGTACATTTCTAGGTCTTAAAGTTTAGATTACATGCAATTTTCTTATTAGTCACAGCCAAAGTGTCTCAAACATAATTAACCGAAAACCTGTCTAAATCAATCCAGATCCATTCAAAATAATGCATTCCCGTCTCATTACAGAGCCTGCTAATCTATTCAAGCCTTCAAATTTATTCCTTAGAGAAAGATAATGCATGCAGACTCTTACAAAATGCAATATAGTTGTTAGTTTTTGAAACCTCTGTATTATGATCTCATTTAGTCTTGCAGCATAAACAAGGTTAGATTTCGGCAATGTATCAAAACTGGTGATTCACTAAATAGGCTCCTTTCCTGACAGTCAACACTGAGTCAATGTCCCAACAGTGGCTCCATTATAAGAAACACATTCTCTCACATACTTTAAAATATGAATTAGAAATGCTCTAAATGTTTTCAAATAAAGATTTCTCACTTTAATGCAGCTGCACAAAACTGACTGTAGTTGCTGACAAACAAAAAAAAAAGTTTCAATCCCCTCCCGCCACTCAGAGAGAAGGGAGAAAAGCACTCAAAACCAGAATGGATGTTTAGATCTTCTGCTTTTATCAAGTTGAGTTCTTTGTTGGACAAGTATGAGATATTTAGGCCTTCAACACGTTATTAGAGGCTATCAAACTCAAGCCAAACTCGTATGTGTGTGCACAGAGGCTGCAGAGAGAAAAAAGTATTTTGACAGGTTGCCATCTAAGAGATGTTTTGCTTTGGAAAAGCTACTTCCAGGGAACTAAATGTGCTGGCAAAGGTTCACTTCCTGAGCCTTGCCACGCTGGTTTAATAGAACGTGTGGTCACATCTGCCCTTCAAATGTAAAATAACCCTTTTGCTTTTTGATATTTCGCACACATTGGTTTGGCACACTCTTGTAATTCTTCGTAGGAAAAAAAAAAATATACTGAAGACGTAGGGCTTGCTATTTTCAAGAGGAAGGATCAGTAAAACCATCACCAAAAATAATTTTTCAAAGCTAACCAGAAACTTAAATGCAACGTTCATCTAGATTTGCCAGAATTACCTAATGGTTAAAGCAGGACACATGAACATATTCATTAACATTTGCTAGGTGCCACCAGCTAATGATATGTGACTAAGTTAAGCTTTTATCATGTATGACTACGTCTTAAAACTTAAAAACTCATGTATTCTATTATTGTCATGTTCCAGAATGGCACCCGTTGGTGGTTATTTCTGCCTTTCCAAGGCAGAAGGCATCTCCTTGGCCTAGACCACGCTACATCACCTCCCCCCAAAAATTCTTTATGCACACCTTAATGTAAATCAATTTTATTTTAGTAGTAACTAACACAATAAAGGATCTTTCAGCAATGGGTAGAACTGGACCCACAGAATTGTGCTTCTCAGTTACACAAACTCCTGCTGGTGTCAATGGTGCAGGATCATGCTCTGCCAGCAGATGTGAGGGGAAAAAACACCCCAACAACTAACCTCCTCAAAAAACCCAAACAAACAAACAAAAAAATTGAAGAAAAGGCATGATTTAACTACAGCGTTCCTCTCTGTTGTTGTTGTTGTGTTGCAGACCTTGCAAAAAGTACTTGCAAAGTCAACAAATAATAGAAAAGTTAGATAACGTCAAATTTTGGAACATGAAGATGCTCACTGAAAAACTCATTGAAATGGAACAGTTGTTTACACTCTCTAGCAGTTTCATACTTTCTGGGCTCCTTCCTTCAGTGTTCTTCTTGATTTCCATGATAATCGCAGAGATATGCCTTAAAGAAAAATGACTTCGGGAGGTACAGTTGCTAATGGAAATAATCCTGCTTTAATACATGCATTTGAATTCTGTCCATGACCCATTCTCAGCCACAGTAAACATCTCTGGCATTCAGGAGGGTAACAATGCTGGTAAGAAACCAACCGCTTTAATAAGTTAAGGAGTAAGAGCTCAAAAAAACAGGAATAGTCTTTCATTCAGAACATCTCTGTGAAATCATGAATCAAAGGCACAAAGACATACCAAGTTAATTAGATATATGAGGTCACACTGACCATAATGTAGTTGGAATGCAAAGGGGAAAACAGTCCTCCACCCACCGAAAGCACACTGCCTGTATCTTTTTCTGAAGCAATTACAGTTTTTTAAAAAATATTCTGCCTGTAAAGTGCTGCAAGAGGGCACGCAACGCTCCATGATTTCAAACCCTTGAAAAAAGTTTTGCTATATTAATTTACATATAAAAAGCACTGAAAATAAAAAGCTTAAGGGCTTAAAATCCGCCTCACAGTTTGGAACCCAGTGGTACCACACCGAAATAGGCGGCTGCCTTCCCTTTTCCCTGCAGCATTCATGAAGAACTCGCAGTTCTCCATGCGAAAAGCGTAGCTCCCGAGACTGACAGCAGCTCCTCACGGACACCCCAGCCGGCCAGTACCACATTCCCCACGTCAGCCTTCAAAACAAGGCCAAAACTAACGGAAAAGCCGCTATTCCAGAGGCCTCTCTCACCCAGGCACTGAGAGGGAGCATCGCCCCGCTGGGAGGCAGGGACCAGAGCCGGAGGTAACACCTCCCTCCACTCACTTTCGTGGCATCTCTCTCTGGCAGCAGAGTGAAAAAGTTTATACTTCCCTCCGTGGCACGAGGGTTTGCAACCACCGGTGAAAAAGCCCCGGGAAAGGGAAGTGCCCGAAGGCGGCAAGGAGACACCAGCGAGCGCCCACAGCGGAGGGGACCCGCGGGGCGGGACGGCGCGGTCACTCGTGGGGCTGGGAGCGCCTGACAGCGGCCGGGAGGGAGGGGGCCCGGCGGGGTCACGCGTGGAGCGGGTGAGCGGTGGCGGAACCGTTACCTGGCGCTGGCGAGTTTGCCCCCGGCGAGTTTTCCCCCGGCGGGGCTCCTCCGAGGCGGGCTCCGGCCGAGCCGCGGCTGCCGTCGGGCGGGCGGGGCGGCGGTGGCGGCGGTAGCGGGT